TGATATCATGATAAGATGACAGAGACTGGAACAGTCACAGTCTTTTTATATAATTGTTGTATATACACGTATACACAGTATGGTGCAAAAATCAGAGACAATCCTTCATTTATTAAACTCATTTCAGACTTTTAATGGACTTTAGACTAAAACCTTTGAGTGGTTCGAGTGGCTTTGAGTGACTCTGTAGCTTAATTGTGTTTATTTTATTAAAATAAAAGATCAAGCATTCCATTTTGTCACTAACAAAACAATCATAATACCATTAAACTTTACAAAATGTTACAGCAGTGATTGTTTCAGTGACAACTTTAACTAATTTGAACTTCACAAACGCTAGCCAGTACATGACTAGCAAACACAGCTTTGAACAGCTGTACACACATAAAATCTTAAAATTTTTATACAAAAGCTTAAAATATGTGTTTCGTGGTGACAATTCTTAATGTTACAAACTGATTTTCAGACTTTGGAACACATTTACTTCAAAACAATGGGATCTAGCCGCTCACCATGTGGCCATGAGGGATGGGGATGCAGTCTCACTTCCTGCTCTAAAATGCAGGGGTGTGGCTAAAATAAGACTCCACCCATGGACTAAAACTATTAGTGTTTCGGTGACATGCAAATGTGAGACAGCATTTTTTGTGTAAAGTTTTTTATTTTATTTCAAAATTAAACTCATAATAAATCTTTCAACTTTAAAAATAAATCAAAAAGATCTTTAAAAAATTTTTTAAATGATCTAAAAATGGAAGTATTATTTTCACAAGTTGAAATTTAGGGGTTAGGGTTTGGGAGCCACCTCCCAACAGAAAGCGCCATGTGTGCATATAAAATGAACGATGACTTTTGTGTATATTTAACTTATTACTCAATATTCTTAATTAATGCCCTCAGTTATAAATAAATCATAACATCATCCTTATAAATTCATGGTCTGAATACTTGTTTTTTACGCAGCCATATCAATCCACTTCATGGTCACGTGTATTATGTCTAAAGCATTATAGATGCAGATTTCAGGTAACTCTGGTATAGTTATTTTTTTTTACAAAAATTTACTGTAAACTACAAAATAATGACATTTGTCATAAAGTATTGTACTGTAAACTTAATTCTGTCTAATGTTTAGGCTCACTTTGTTTCTATATTTGTTATTCTCGTAAGTCCTACTGCTCTTACTGTGTTACGGTTTTGCTACCTGGTGTCAACCAGAGGAAGATGGGTTCCCCTTTCGAGTCTTGGTTCTTGGTTTCGCGGTTTCTTCCTCTTATTCTTAGGGTGTTTTTTCTTACCACTGTTGTGCTTTGCTAGAGGCTTGGACTCATATTTCTGCAAAAAGCTGTTTTGTGACAACCCCGTTTTAAAAATGACTTCAGTTCCTTGAATGCATAGCAAAATACAATAACTTACTGTAATTTAAGAACACAGGATATTACTATAAATTGCATTTACAGTAACATTACCGTATTTCACAGTGTATATGGATACTGATAAAACAGTCTAACTGTGACTTATCAAAATAATGAGATTTGTACTGGAAAGATAACCAAACCTTTAAGGAAAAAGACTGAGAGCAGCCAACTGTGGGATATACTGTGCATAATAACTCTGTATAATGCTACCCTTTTTTGTCCGGTTTGGGTCTTTAAAGGACAGATGGCCCCTTTTTGTCCTACCCTGGCCACCGTCCAAGCGCTGTCTGCACTGTTGTGGGTAAAGGATGTTCTGTGACAGGCCAGCCGTTCTCCACTGCTTTAGATATTAATGGTTGTGACAACCAGAGTCCGGTGCAATCTGCACCGGCCCTAAAAGCATCCACTACGCTGAACTCACTTGCACTGTGTTCCCTAAGCATTGATTTTCTTCTTGTTGTTGTTTATTTCTTATTTTTAGAATGTCTGTGACATTTTTGTTCTCTTGCCAAAGGGGCATATTGTAGACGCTTCCTTTATGTGACGTGTCTGATAGCAGTGGGCTGGATTGTGTTGGAAACAAGGCGGCCTGCATGAGCACATTTTTCCATATTTGCTGTGTCATAAATTATGAATGATGTGTGGATTTTCTCGCTCTTGTGAGCCGCTGCCTGCAGTACATCTCAAGCACCTCTTAATGATGTTACTGTTAGGGCTGAAATGACTCACAATTCAATTTGAGTCTCTTGTGTTGCTGATGCTATCTGGTGGAAGCATGAAGCAAGGTTACTTTTATTAAATCCATGTCCACTTATCTGTTTCTTGTGTCTCTCCTTCTGCTCTAACATAAGAAGGGGAAAGCACACAAAATACATAATTCATAGCTCTGAAAGGAAAAAACAGCTTTACCAAGTACTGAGGTGTGAATACTTGAGTACCATCTGGTGTGTGTACATTCGTTGCCATACACTGGCAATGCATGTTGATTCTGTAAGCAACAAGTCATTCCTTGACTTTCCAGTATCGGTCATCTCCTAGACCACTGTCCAGATCTAGGTATATTGGGTGCTCCATGTGAGTCTGATAATGGTCAAGAGGACAAAATATGCCAGGGAGGGACTGAGACCAATGATTATTTTCTTCTTATCTCAAATTACATTAGCCAAATTGTATTAGGAGAAACGGTTAGGAAGGAATCATTTGGTTGCTTGAGAGTTTTAACTACATTATAGCCTGGGGAACACTGTAGGTCTACTTGCAGAGCCAAAATGGACATTTTATTAACAAAATCGTATTAGTGATACTGTATTTTCTTTATCCAAAAGATTAAGTTACATGCAATGGATCTATAGGTCTAGTAAATCTGAGGGCTTACAATGTTCTAGCAGTAGACACAGGCCTATATACTCAAGTACAGATGGCACAGGAAATACAACACTAAAGTGTAGTACAATATAGCATTTTAATCATGTGTCCATTGTTAATTTAAGCAATAGAACATGAGAGCGAGTGCTATCACAAATAACATCATGGCTGTGACTCAGTCGCAGGCATGAGCCGAAGGCAGAACCGCAGATCTATTGCTTTAATACAACATTTCTGCTAAATAAAAAAAAAGGTAAGGCAAAGAAGCCCTGAATATTGCATCAAATTGCATTAATATAGGAAATTCCTTTCACCAAAAAACTAGTAACCTTTTGCTGTACAGATTAAACCATTAATATGGTCGCAATATCAGGTTCATCTCAGCTCTTTTAACATTTTCAGGTTCAACCTGAATGTTTTTCTGTTCCACTCAGTCTGTAAAGTATTTCACAGACCAGCCTTTTTGCTGAATTGAATTCTGTTTCTTTCTGGCTAATTTTAGTTTGTTAAGCTGTTCCTCTGTTGCAGCTGCTGACTGAAAAGCTTGTTTAACGTCAGGTTTGGAATTTGATCCTGACCTGCTGTCACACTCTTCCTCAATCTGACCATCACCTTATAGAATACCTTATATCATTATATTCATTTTCTGTAATGTAGAAATGTACTGTGGTTAGCTGCAAAGCAGTAGTTATGTAGAAACCAGTGCACAGCGGAAAGATACTGGTGTTGTGAAAAAGAGGCTAAAACACTTCTCTACCAACCCACTGTGCAGTCGGAAATAACTGGTGTATAATAAGGAATATACTATAGTGTTTTCTAGATTGAAGTGCAATACATGAGGTATCATTCATATTGCACTATTCATGGTATTGATTAATAAACAATAATAAAAAAGTAGACAAGTTTCAAACAGTTCTGCACCATTTTAACAGCTAAAACACATGGTTTGTGTAAGCTTTTTTCCATCAGTAATACAAATTAGGTAGACAGCGTTACTTATGAAGCCAAGCTTTTATCCCTTCCACTGTGTAACGCTAAGCTGTTTTCTAGCTAGTTAGCACTGCCGTAAATAATACAGATTTTTTTCTTAAAATCCAACAAATGTAAGTTACTTTTTTTTCTATATCCTCTTCTCCATTCAGCAGTGTCTTTTTTTTAAACGGTCTTTTTTCATCCTTTTGGTTAGCGTTATTAGCGTTAGCTATTAGCTGGCATTTTGACGTTCTGTCAAACTGTTCACTGAGAGAGGTTGTTAGCTAAGCTAGATAGCAGCTCTGGCTAGCTAACTTCTCTAACTTCGTTTCTAAAAGGGTTTGGTCACTATAAGCAACACATTTAGGTTAATGCTGTGTACCATAAGCCTTTAATGCATTTCCATTAGTGTTTTCAAGCTTCAGTAATGCGGAAAAGTTAATATCTCTTGGTTTTAGAAGCACGGACAGAGTTTAGAGATGCAGAGAAGCGTTGCTAACGGTTTCTTCAGTTAGCAGTACCATGTAGTTTCAGTTGTTTTATGATTGTTGTTCGGTTATACCGGGATAGTTAGTGTGCTGAATGAAATGATTCAGTGGTACCAACATGTAGGTGTGCAAAGTGCTGTGTGTCCCGCTTCTCTTTCGCTGAATGGCCGTGTAAAGACTAAACCTCCAGAATCCGGAATCCTCCAGAAAAAGGATCCTGAGTAGACCTTTCTGACAGGAAAACGGTTTTCTTTGATATGATATTAGTATCATTAACACATACTTCACATATAGGTTTACAAACTGGCTAAATATATGTTACTGTTCAAAGCCTAACTGAATATTGTGAATATAAGTGTGGATAGTAGATGCCGTTGCGTCCTTTAACTGCAGAGGCGACGCGCTTCAGTCAGTGGACTGACTGTGTGTGTGTGTGTGTGTGTGTAGTCAGTCCTGCTCCCTGTGCCCTACTTTTCTACGGAGGGATGCTGCACTGAGAAGAGAAGGCAGATCCGAGCAGGAGTCACCCAGCATGCGGACTCTAGCTGCCTCCTTCGTGCCTCGTTTCCGTCGTTCAGCCGCACTGCCGTTTCCAGCCTCCGGCCGCCTCGCTGGAGCTCAGGGTCGGCGTGCGTGAGCAGGGTTCACCGCGGTTTCGCCGCTTCAGACACGTCTCTCCCCCCACCTTCGTCTGCCTGTCAGCGGGGTGAGAGAGGAGAGGAGGGGAAGGGGGTCCACCGCCGTCCGGAGCCGGAGCATGGACCCCCTGACCGAGCCGCAGGACGAGAGGAGCCCGCCGGGCTGGAGCCTCGGAGCTGCGGGCGGGGAGGCGAGCGAGCAGCGCCGCGGCGGGAGGGCCGAAGCCAGGCGGCCAGGGGACAGCCCGAGCGCCGCGGAGGACGGAGAGGAGCCGCTGGAGGAGAAACTCAGAGGGCTGGCGTTCAGGAAGCAGACATCGTACAGGTGAGTGGAGCTAAAAATGCCTGTCCAGACTTATTCAGATTCAGACTACAGGGTCAAGCCTGGCACCGGAGGGACCACTACGGGGCTCGGTATAGCCGGTCTGTGTTGTTTTCAGATGACCAGATCGTTCTAGGCTGGATGAGCAGGCTTTGTTGAGGGGAGCAGAGAAGACGGAGCTACAGAAATGGAGAACAGTTCAAACTATAAGCTCGTAAAGCTCAAAGGGACCTCCATGGCAGCCTGTCTGTTTTTAAATGACCAGCAGGCTTTGTTGAGTGGAGCAGTGGAAACGGACCCAAAGGAGCAGACTCATTCAAATTCAGATTACAGGGTCGTGGTATCACCGGGGACCACCGTTCGCTGTGTGAGATGCACAAAATGAGGCGGAATGCAGGCTACGGGCTGAATCTGTTTGTTTTGATGGGCAGGGGGTGCTTTGCATGTCCAGACTTTGGCTTTCTGCTTAATGTCCTGTCCAGCACGAGTGTAAACACGGGCGCGTGCACGTGAAAAACATGGAGCAGTGTACGGGTCTTAACAAAAAAGGCAAAATGTCGTGTCAAGCATGTTAGGCTCCGGACACAGTAACACAGGGTCTTTCAGAGTAACCGCTGTTGTCGTGCGCTGAATGTGTGTGTGTGTGTGTGTGTGTTTGTTTGCGGGGGGCGGGTGGGGGGTTGGTGTACGGGTTAGCCTCGATATTGATTTCATCCAGTCTGTGTGCGGATTTTCTTTTGAACGTCAGCCCACTTCTGTGGCTGGGCAGCTTTCATGGGTTTGATTGGTGTAGATTCAGTCTGGCATTAGGAGACAGCAGAACATTTGTTTTGGAACGACCCTTGGTGGTTGGTGTGGTGTATTGTATGTCTTTGAGTGTCCAAGTCTCTCTGTATTATTATTAGTCTACATATCTGGGCGAGATGGGCTGTCATCTGTTACAGAACACCCTCACGTGTGCCTACCATGACATTGCTTTTCAGCCAGAGCGATATATTTGATAGATAATGAGCATTTCATACACAGTATAATGTCCATAAAATGGTGTTGTCCCTGTTGGCAAACCGGCTTGTTTGTGATCTACTCCTGGTATCCAGACCCTGACAGGTAACTGCAGTGTACGTCATTTATTGGGTATTTTGCGGTAGTTGTGAAAGAACAGTTCTAAATACATAAAAAAAAACAAATAGTAATCATTCTGAGTGTGCATCATGTCTTTTTAATATTTACAGTCCTGTTTAAGATTCCCTTTCGGGTAATTTTAAGATGCACAACATTAATATTTAAGACATTTAGTTTAAAAACATTGTTTCTTAAGATTAGATTATATTAGATAGATTAGCAGCACTCAGGAAGTATGGGTTTAATAACTTTGTTAAGACAAACTTAAATCTCATCTGATACTAAGGGTGTAGCGATTTGAGTATATATCGAAAAATCTAATTTGAAACAGCGAATCAAAATTTAAAACACATCCTTGATACGCCCCTTTGTCTCTTCCAAGTATCTCTCGTTTATCATCTTTTGTGGAAAGCACTACCACTGATCAAAACTAGGCACCTGGGTGCATTCCATCAGAGCAAAGTGTGTGAGGGGCTGATGTTACAATAAAATTACTTTTTTTTCCTCATGAGTTTTGTCATAACCATTATACGGTATGCCACAAATAAGTGCATGTGAACAGCGTAAACCATGCGACTGTTATTCCATTTAGCTGGGTGGCGTCTGGGGTGTTTCAGTCACGTTTCAAATGAAAATAATACCACTGTCTGGACTGTTGCATCTGAAGTAGTCCACCTTGCTTGCGAGGCAGAAGTTGGCTGCTTTTTTGAATTTCCCATTCCACTTCAGATGGTGCAGCAGTTACATTCAGGAACCTGTACTGATGCCAGAATGTAACTGCTGCTCCATTTAAGGTGGAACAGAACATTTGAGCAAAAAGCCACCATATAACAAGCCAATGTCTTCAGATGGGAAACAACAACATTTAGCACCACTTTTGCCAGGCTTATATTAGAAAGCAGTATTGACATACTGCCCACTAATACATTACATGCCTATCTGATACCGTGATAGTGAATTTTATCAATATTGCCCAGCACTAGCTCTGACACATTAAAGGTCATTCCAGCACAGTGAAAAGATTTCCAATCTGTCAATAAGTGCACAGTGTCATAGTGTAACGAAACATTGTTAAAGTGGTTTGAATATGTTTGTGCACTTTGACCAACCCTTTTCTCTGTTGTAGAGAGTGTACTGCAGGAATGGACCAAAGGGTGCATGTGTGTTGGTGTAAATGATGGGATCTAGTGATTCTAGTCTGTTGGAAAGATTGAAAAGCTTAGACCATATTGACAAGCATATATCCACCTACACACACGTACACGTTCACTACCCTCTCCGATGCTTGCAGGTATTACCCTACAAGCTTGTGCTGGTTGTTTTGGCAGTCTCTTCACAAGCCCAACCTGAACAGGTTAAAAAAAATGCATTGAATTTACTTGATTTAGATGTGTACATCGTTTTCATGTATTACATGAATGCAGTTTTACCATTCAGTTTACTTCTTTTTGGCAGTAATTGTGTTGATGTAATCTATTTGTTCATATGGTAGTGATGTGCGGCTTTGAATCAAGTAGATTCAGTGCATCACTTTTCTCAGTGAGCCTTCTGGCTTATCCCCAAATTCAGTCTGAGTGACTATTAGTTGTGTCCGTCTGCAGTGTAATATTCATGATGAGACTCAACCACTTTCAGTCCTTCAGGATTAAATGCTGTTACAATCAGTGACTCGGCTTACTAGGCCTTCTCATCAGAATGAACTAGGTCGCCTGCAGAAAGTAAGTGCGAAGAGGAGCTTTGGCACGTTTAATCGAGCCTGTCTGTCTGCATCCAGCAGTAAAAGCTGTCTACCACAAGAGCAGAATACTAACAGTGGTTTTGAGGTGTGAGGCTGTGGTATGAGTCAGGCGCCCTCACACACCAAGCAACTCTCTCCAGGGACAAACAGTGTTCACAGAATCGGAATCGTTGTATTCGCCAAGTACAGGAGCCACTTTTTTTGGTAATTTTATTTTTATTTAACCTTTAATTTAACCAGGCAAGTCATTAAGAACAGATTCTTATTTACAATGGCGACATTAGGCCTAAGGTATTCCTTGTATACAAGGACTGTCTTGGCTCAGGTGTCAACTAGGAATGTGCACGGGTACTCAAGTACTTGGTTTAAGGGGAATATCATTGATTTTTATTTATTTATTTATTTTTGCCTAATTCTGTCATTGCGATGTAAACAAAGTCATTCTGAGTGGTTTGATGTAAAATGGTTTGTTGTAGAGATAGTTACAGATGAAGATTTTTTTACAGTGGTGGTGATAGGACCCTAGGGTCACCACCTCTATAGCACGAAGTAGCCATTTTATTTACTATCCAGAACCACCAGTCAACCTACATGTGTCTTCTGAGTTTTCATGTGTAATGCTATTGATGGTAAATTAGTGGAATATCTGAAAAAATGGGTTTTCTTTGGGCACTATTTTGCCTCAGGATGCCCCATGTTTTTTCCCTCCACGATGAAAGGGCTGAGCTTAAGGGCCTAAAAAGGTATTGTAAAACAATGTCCCAGCCATCAGGCAGCATATTCATAACCATTTTGTGAGGGATATCCATTCATAACTTTATGAGTGGGAGCTTTTAGAGACATTAATCTCTTTAAGTGTTTGGTTCCTGTCACCACCATTGTGAACAATACTGACTCAGAATTTTTCTGTAGAATGGACAATTTCACATCAAACCACTTTCAGTGATTTTGTTTACATCTTAATAATTAAATTTAGAGAAATGTAAAAAATGGTGTTCCTCTTTAACTGTTCAAGGTCCCAGTGTTTGAATCCTGAAATCCCTGTCCAGGTACTCAGCATGTATGTTACACCTATGTGTTACACTGTGCCACTCTGAAATGTGTGCCTTAATGTGAGCGCATTACCAAAGACGTGGCTGAGAGGCAGATATAGTGCAGCTTTATTGCTAACCACAAATGGTTTGAAACATGTTTAAGTCTCATTCACTGAAGACTCACAGGCGGGCGCTGTCTGGCTGTTGCTATCATATTCTTGACACAACAGGAGAAATAGGAAGTGGCCAGGCTCCTTTTAGACTGCCTCTGGTTTTATGCCATATCTGAAAAGGCAGTCTCCATTTCATCAGCATGAAAACTACAGATTCTCCTTGCCTTTTTGGAAAATAAAACATGTTCTCAAACGTATGCCTCTGCTTGCTGTGAAATTTTTATGCTACTATTTTTTAGCCTCTTAAAACCAGCGCTGTTGCCTAAACGAGAAAGACTCCAGTTCCAGTCTTTAATCCAGGTCTAGCCGTTACTTTTAGCCAATGTAGCTTGTATTTCGGGCTCTTTTTTTCTTTCCCTGTGGTTAACTGGGTATCTGTTCATTAACTGTCTGTGGATACTTCAATATCAAAATTAGTTGGATTATTCATCCCCATTGTCAATGTAAATTTCTACAACAAATGGAGAGTAAAATAAAATACATATTACCAATATAATCATAAGTGATATGTACAGTTCCTTTTTACATATTGAAGTTGAACTGTACATGTACAGCTCTGCCCACAAGTGTGTTCTTTCGCAGTGGGACAAACTTTACAGAATGTCAGTAAAAATATTGTTCAGGTTAATCAATTTAGGTTGAACTTTAGAGCCACTGTTGAGTTTGAGTTGCCAGTTTAAAATGCTGCACTACTGAGGTGGACTGTGTAATCCGCTAATCAAAATTAGACAAGTTGGAAATGACAACAAAATTAACCAATGTTAGCTTGATTACACACAAAAAAGCCAAACAGTATTTATTCTAACAGTGTGACTCTTCACATGAACACAAAATAAATATAATGTATAATTAGTAATGCATTAAGGGTTGTGTGCTGTAATAAGAACTGCAGGTTTAGTAATTTTTGTTAAAGACCTGTAAAACTGGGCTGGCCAG